CCACCACCAAAGAAGAACAGCCAGGAGCCAGCACCTTTGGACCTGGGATCCTTGCACTGAGAAGCTCCTGGAAGCAGAAGACTGAGAGAGAGAGAAAGAAAGAGAGAGCGAGCGAGCTGTAATCCTGAAGACACTGAGAAGTGGTGGCAGGAGAGGCACAGCAGCAGAGACCCGGCAGCAGGAGATGGCATGGTGGGCTTCTTGGCCCATGGAGAGAGAAAGTTAAGTCCCTTTGGGCAGAGGCCTAGGGCCAGGGAGAGGTGTGCCTGCAAGCACGGTTGGGAAGAGGCTGTCCTGATGGAAGAACTGTATCCTGAGTGTTCCTGAGCCTGAATTGTAACCTGTTACTTCTCTAATAAACCCCATAATCGTGAGTATGGTCTATGAGTTCTGTGCGGCCATTGCAATGAATTATCAAAGCCAGCAGAAAAGTATAGAGTGCTGTAGGACGGACAGTTGGTATCAGAATTGTTAAAGACGGTGGAAAGAGGAGACATGTCTGACTTCCACCTCATAGGAATCAGCTTTGGGCTGTTGATCTTGATTTTCCTTCTCCCTTGTGAAGTTAGAGGAGGTCAGATGCTGCCCCAATGACGTTTTTACAGATGCTTAAGATCATGTGTCAACTTGGCTGGGCCATGATTCTCAGTGGTTTGGCAGTTATGCAATTAATTTGGCAGTTATGTAATGATGTAATTTTGCAACTATGTAATGATGTAATTTGGCATTATGTAATGATGTAGTCATCCTTCGTTTTCTGATCTGATGTGGTCATTCTCCATTTTTGCATAATGCTGATTTTCACATAATGACCTGGTCTTTGGAACCTGACTACATCAATAAGTGAGGAGTGGTGTATATGTAGGTGTATATATACAGGTGTATGCATGTGTATATGCATACGCTTGTATGTGATCATATGCACACATATTCATACATATAATAAAGCACATAGGAGGCACAGTTACAGATACTTCTTAGACATAACTAAACACCAGGTTTCCTGGGTTTGAAGGATTAGGACCATAGTCTCATGGGACATCTCAGTCAATTGGCATAATATAGTTCATAAAGCTTATGTTCTACATCCTAGTTTGGTGAGTAGTATCTGGGGTCTTAAAAGCGGGCAAACAGCCATCTAAGATACTACTATTGGTCTCTACTGGTCCAGAGCAAAAGAGCAAGAAGGAAACTGTCTTAGTCATCTAGTGCTGCTATAACAGAAATACCACAAGTGGATGGCTTTAACACAGAGAAATTTATTTTCTCACAGTCTAGTAGGCTACAAGTCCAAATTCAGGGCCTCAGCTCCAGGGGAAGGCTTTCTCTCTCTGTCTGCTCTGGAGGAAGGTCCTCGTTATCATCAATCTTCCCCCAGACTAGGAACTTCTCTGCATAGGAACCTCGGGTCCAAAGGATGTGCTCTGCTCCCCGCACTGCTTTCTTGGTAGTATGAGGTCCCTCACTCTCTCCTTGCTTCCCTTTCATTTTATCGCTTGTAAGATAAAAGGTGGTGCAGGCCACACCCCAGGGAAACTCCCTTTATGTTGGATCAGGGATGTGACCTTAGTAAGGGTGTTATACAATCCTACCCTAATCCTCTTTAACATAAAATTACAATCAAAAAATGGGGGACAACCACACATTACTGGGAATCATGGCCCAGCGAAATTGATACACACATTTTTTGGGGGACATAATTCAATCCATGACAGAAACCAAAGACTCATAGCAGAAAATAGTCTACAGGACTAACAGTCTACACGAACAATGACCTCATCTACCCTTAGACCAGAAAAACTGGATGATGCCCGGCTACAACTGCTGACCGTTGTAATCAGGGCCGCAATAGGTAGACCCTGAGAGAATGGGAAAAAATGTGGCACAGAACTTCAAATTCCTAAAAAAAAAAAAACCCAAACTTACTGGACTGGATGAGAATAGAGGACTCCCCGACACTGATGCCCTGGGATACTCTTCAAACCTTGAACCGACACTAGGCCCTGAGGTCACCTTTTAGCTAAATAACAGATTGGCTCACAAAATAGAGAGTACCACCCATGAATACCGCGCTCCTTTAAAAAATCATCTATATGAGACCAAGTGGTCAATAATTACTTCAGAACAAAGATAAGAACATAAAGGGACAGGGAAACTAGGTTCATTGAAACACAACAATCAGAATGGAGATACTGAGAATGTTTACGCGTTGTGAAGAATATAACTGATGTCATTGAACATTTTGTGTAGAAATTGTTGAATGGGAACCTCAAATGCTGTGTAAACATTGAGTGAAGACACAATAAAATATTATTTGAAATAAAATAAATCCTGACCCCCAAAATGCTGTGTGTGTGTGCATGCGTGCGTGCGTGTGTGTATGTCTGTGTGGTCTGAATCTTAATAACACATGGGTGTGTGTATTTGTCAAGTTCAGTCCAAATTGCTTGCATCTTTTAATCTTTCTGCTCACCTTTCACTTTGGCCATACACAGCTGTACGTAGTTTGTAGATGGCAATGGAAGAGTCTAGATGTGCTATTGCTCACATGATCTTCATTTACACAGCAAGCCTGAACATTACTTAATGGTTACGCTCCAAGAAATACTGGGTGGGCTGTTTAAAAGTACATTTAACTATTACTGTGTGTTCATCTACACTTTTAAGCCAATGCTAATGACATTGGCATAAGACTATTTGCTAACATCATTTTTTGTTTAAATTATTTAAAATTTTCCAATTCTCTTGGTGTGCAGAACTCAAATTCTAGTAAAAAGACCAGACTTAATGGTCTGAGACCAGAGGAACCCCAGAAAGCACGGCCCCCGGACTCTTCTGTCAACCCAGAATCCAGAACTAAAACTGAAAGTCCTGAGGCCAACTTTTCAGACAAAGATTGGACTGGACTGTGGGACATAAAATGATACTCGTGAAGGGTGTGCTTCTTAGTTCAAGTTGATACATGAGACTAAATGGGAAGCTGCTGTCCGGAGGTGAGATGAGAAGGCAGAGAGGGTCAGGAGCTGGTTGAATGGACACGGGAAATCAGGGGTGGAAAGGAGGAGTGTACTGTCACAGTATGGGGAGAGCAATTAGGGTCACATAACAATGTACGTATAAATGTTTGTATAAGAGACTAACTTGAAATGTAAACTTTCACTTAAACTACAAAAAAAAAAAATCATGTATAGCAAAACCCTTCCCTTGGGGTTTGGGATTCAGGACAACACACTGCTTTGAGAAGGCTTGTCATTTCCTGTTGATGGTACTCTTTAATCTGTATGAAGTCACTTGGGGTGCAGAGAGGGAAGTGACCAGCACTACAGAGGGTCAGAAGGGGCAATATGGGGACATTGGCTTGGAAACCATAAGGTGTCATGATCCTTCTCCTCTAAGGAACACAAGTGATTCTACTTCCATCTCAACCATGATATGTTTTAGATTCTGATTTGAAAAGTTGTGAACAACACAGGTATGTGTGTTATTTCAAGTTTATTCTAAATTTGGAACTAATATGAAGATAAACCTTAGATTAGAAAAAGTTTAAATAAAATGAAAAGCTAGTCCCTCTCTTCCATCAACTTCTGGTCTTTCTTCACAGAGGCAGCCATTTTCAATAATTTTTCTTGTATCCTTTCAAACAAATCTATTTACAAGCATGTTGTTGTTGTGAGGTGCCGTTGAGTTGATTCCGACTCATAGCAACCCTATGTACAACAGAACAAAACGCTACCTGGTCCTGTGCCATCCTCACAATCATTGTTATGCTTGAGTCCATTGTTGCAGCCACTGTGTCAATCCATCTCATGGAGGGTCTTCCTCTTTTTCGCTGACGCTGTACTTTACCAAGCATGATGTCCTTCTCCAGGGACTGGTCCCTCCTGATAACATGTCCAAAGTACATGAGATGAAGTCTCGCCATCCTCGCTTCTAAGGAGCATTCTGGCTGTACTTCTTCCAAGACAGATTTGTTCGTTCTTCTGGCAGTCCACAGCATTAATAGACAATAATTCTTTTTTTTTGGTAACAAAACTAGGGCCATGCTTTTTTGCACTTACCTTTTTAAATTTTTTTTTTAACCATCTGTTGTAGACATATTTCTATGTAAGTACATGCAAATAATGCCATTTTTTAAAAGCCCTGGACTGAATTCTTTGAATGAATCTACCATGACTAATTTAACCAGCCTCCTACTGAGAGGCCCGTAGGTAATGTACAGATTTTTGATATTACCAATAATGCTATAATGAACACTACTGACAGTGGGCATCTGTCCAGGTATGTAGGTATGTTTGTAAAGAACTGCCAGATCAAAGAGTACTGGGTCTTACATTTTTGATGGTGCCCAAATTCACTCTTGCATGCAGAGTTTTCGTTTGCTTCCACAGCTTAGCATTCTTCTTTAAGCTTGTTGACCTCTTCATTCTTTCCCATTCTACTTTGCTTTGTTTGGGAGCATATCATTATAGGTTATTTTGGAATAGCTCCAAACTATATGCTATGGAACAATGTTGTTCAAGATATTATTAGATCTTCTATCAGAAAAGGATTCTATGGATGAATTAGGCTGGACAAATGCAGCCAGCCAAAAACCCCTACAGTGACACATAATGCCCACTGGCGTGACGAGGGCTCTGGCAAATCTCGCAGGAATGAAACCCGTTTAACCTACATTTTCCAAAGTGATTTAATGAAGAAAGTCCATTTTTCTTCTTCTGTATTTTTTTTAACGAATCATCAAAATTAATATCTTGATTCCATATGGTTCCATGGAACACAGCTTGGAAGATACTATTCTGAATAAATCTCAAAGTGTTATATATTACCCTATTTCCATTTTTTAAACAATAAAACAAAAGCTTAATAAAAACTTTTACATAGTTATTTTACAAAGGGAAGCCACTTCTTGAAACCTACTGTAATAAAATAAAGAAAACATACATTCGCATTTCAGATTCTTACTAACCTACTGCTCTTAAGATGAGCTAAGCTGGTCCTACCTTGTAGTAGCTTTCATCAGCACGAAGAGCTTTGGAAAGTCCAAAATCACTGATTTTGGCATAATGTTGAGTAACCAGCAACACGTTTCTTGCAGCCAGATCTCGGTGCACAAAATTGCACTCCTCCAAATATTTCATTCCCATAGAAACCTGATGAACCAGCTCTATTATGTTCTTATCCTTCACATGCCTGGAAGGTACAAATGTGTCATTGTGACAGTGGGCAGTGGTCCATGTTAGAACAACCAGCCACACTCCCCATTCACACAGAAGATGAAGTCGCTGATTTCCTATTTTCTTAAACAAAAAGAGGCACAAGTGGTGACAAATGATCTTGTTAACATTCAGCTGTTCAAGAATGAATGCCATTCTCCTTCCCCTGGTCAATGGGTAAGATTTTCATGGAGTGCCTGGAATTGCATGAAAAGCAGTATAATGGCTTACAGAGACTCAGGCTTCTGTTCATATCATTGATCCAACACTTGACAAGTAATAAAACCCACCCTAAGTCTTGATTTCTTATCTATAAACTGAGGAGAACAAAACTTCCCTTCTGTGGAAACTGTAAAGATACAATCTGAGTAATGTATAAGCATAAGATAGCAAACAGGAAGAGCCCATTTGTTACAGAGTAGAACTGCTCCATACGGTTTTCTTTGCTCTAATCTTCATGGAAGTAGATCACTAGGTCTTTCTTCCATAGCTTTGCTGTGTAGGTTCAAATCGCCAACCTTTAGGTTTGTGGTCTGACGCAGAGGCCAGCCAGAGGGCCAAATAGTGGCTATTATCATGTTTTATTCCATGGGAGTTCCTCTATCTCAACAAAAGCTTTAGTTGAATACAACATGCTTATTCCATTGAAAGTTGTAATCAATTAAGAGCTAACTGATATTTTCAGAAGCAATTAGGCATGGGAGCTTAGAGGTATCATTGTCAGTCAGATGTTTAAAACGGTTACCTCTTATGCTTCTTTAAAAAGAGTGTGTTCTATTCAACCACAAAAAGAATGGAGTTCTGATACATGCTATGACATGGATTAGCGTTGAAAACATTATGCTGAGTGAAATGCGTCTGACACAAAAGGATAAATATTGCATGATTCCATTTACATGAAATATCTAGAATAGGCCAATGCATAGAGACCAAAGTTTATCAGTGGTTACCAGGGGCGGGCACAAGAGGGAAAGAGGGAGTCATTGCTTAGAGGGCGCTGAGCTTTTCTTAGGGGTGATGACAAAATTTGGAAACAGGGAGTGGTGATGATTGTACAATATGGTGGAAGTAATTAATGTCACCGAATTGCACACATAAAAATGGCTTCAATGGCAAATGTTTTGTTGTATCTATTTCACTGAGATAAAACAAAAAAGCAAAGGATGTTTTCTGCCTCTGGAAGGAGAGATTTCCTTTCGAGATATTATGAGGCTGAATCCATCACTGGCCAATATAGAGTGAATAAGGGAGGAGAATGAAGACAAAATTGTTGGATTCGAGTTTTTCTCTGAGCAATAAAAGCAACAGAGGATTTGATCCAAAGATGGCGTCTCTCTGCTCTTCTTTCAAGGTCCATGAGGGTGGATCAACACTGGAAAGACAGGAAGCAGAGAAGGGAGGCAGAGGGACCCTGTCCCTCACAGTATTGGCCTCTGGGCCTTCGGGAGACAGTCAGAGCGAAGATACCTGTTCTGCTGCAGGTACTTATTGAGAGGCCCAAGCTCCGCCATCTCCATCACCAGCATCCAGGACTCGGCCTCGCAGATCCCGATCATGCGCACAATGTAAGGGTTATCGAGCTGCTGCATGACATTGGCTTCTGCTAACAGCTCGTCCTTGAGAGCGGGGTCGTTGGCTTCGTTCTTCAGTATCTTCACCGCCACTGTTTTCACGACTCTGCAAAAGAAATCATAACACATGAGATGGTCAAAAGGGCTCACTTCTATATACTCATCTTTGGTGAGACATCATTCCTAGGCAGAAGCATTGTTACGGAAATAGCCTGCAACAGAATGAAAATGTATCTTAAGAAGCCATGTAATAAGCTAATAGTTTTCCAACTGTGTTCTCTCATTTTCTACACATGGGGTCACACCATCTTACTGAAAAATAATAGGAGTGGCGGTGCTGAAGAATGCTCCAGCCAAGCAAAAGAGCTAAATCGTAGAATATTTAAATAACTTCCAAATAAACCTTATAAGCTATGACATACATGGATTCGTGGAACATCTTGCAATTTATAGTCTCAGATTATGCATAATGTGTATAAATATATTGTTGCTGTTAACTGCTGTCATACTGTCTCCTGACTCATGGTGACCCCAATCACCATGGAACAAAATGCTGCCTGGTCCTGAGACATCTTCATGATTGGTTGCAGACCACACTGTTGTGATCCATACGGTTTCCACCGGCTGATTTTCAGAAGTAGATCACCAGGCCTTCCCGCCTAGCCCATCTTAGTCTGGAAGCTCCGATGAAGCCTGTCCAGCATTCTAGCAACACACAAGCTTCCACTGACAGGTGGTGGCTGTGCATGAGGCATATTGGTCAGGAATCTAACCCAGGTCTCCCGCATAGAGGGTGAAAATTCTAACACTGAACCATCAATGTCTCATATGAATACAAAATTCCTTTAATATACGTGAAAAATGAATTTCCAGAAGTAAAATTAAAAAGCATACATTGTGAAAGCTCATAGTTTAAAACACACTTTTTCTTCAACTGAGCTGTATTTATTTTAAGCAAGCCTCAATGAGTTTTTAAGAACTTATTTTTCATTTTCTAATAAAATTAGAAATTAAGCACATAATTTATGCACATAAATTATGCACATCACATAGGTTGTGTTTGAAGTCTTAAAAATATTCTAATATGGTAGGGCTTAAATAGATGGATGGAACTTAATTATGCATGATTTTAAAAACCGATGTCTGTCTGTGACATATTTCCCACCGACATGGGAAGCACACCTCTTTTGCTGAACCCTAAAACTGGGGGATAAGAAAGGAACTATCCAATAAAATTGATAAAATAGGAGAATAACAGAGTAAGTATAATATGCGTACAGAAAAGGGCACATAAGTTTAGTGCATAGAAACACCTAAAAAATAAATACACTAAAGTTAGTAAGTGGTAGTAATATTTGCATGTTAGGAATAAATGTTTTCATTTACTTATGTTTTTCTTTGTTTTTATTTTCTATAGGGCACACGTATTACTTCTGCACTAACAGAAGTTAGTTAGTATACTTAATAAATGCTTTCATTATAATTGTTCCAGGAATGAACAAAAATTATAAGGTTCATTAAAAGAAAAAAAGGATTTAGCTAGGCTCGGTTAAATTTGTGACTATTATTAAATCAACACTATACACAGATATTTGGCAGTTTCTAGAAACGTAAGCTCTAGACGATAATAAGAATGACAGGACGGTATGAAGGGACTTACTTTTTCATTTTGTAGTAACCCTTTTTCACAGTACCAAAGTTCCCAGAGCCAAGCTCATTGTCTTCCAGGGTCAGCAGACTTCGGTCCAGATAGACCTCTTTTGGCCTGATCTCCTCAGGGTCTGCATAAGGACTTTCATATACTTCGGTGTCCATGGGCAAGGCTTCTCTCTGGGGACCTGCAATACATCCAAGAGACATATGACCCTCGGGCTAGATCCTTTGTGAAATTCCCACTGTCTGCCCTCCTCCCTTCCTGGGACCATGCAGTGTCTTTAAGACACTGGTCACCCTGGGGCAGTATGGCACCTATAAAAACTCAAGAGAGCACCTCTCCCAACTTATAGGGGAGCAGCAAAACGCCCTCACCCTCTGTTCTACGTGAAGTCTGTTCTTGCACTAATGCATGGAGTGTTCCTCCATCTAAGAGTCATGAAGAGGGGTCATTCACACCTCAGGCAGATACTTCATTTGAAGCCATCTTAATGGCCTGTGGTGGTTTTACCTATGTCTGAAGGTTCTCTCTGACACTGTGCCCATTGAGAGATGAAGCCTATGTCACCTCCCCTGGACAGGTTTTATAATGGTTTCAATCATTATAATATATCAGAAGGGACATAGATGATTTCCAAGGTGAAGTTATAAAAGGCCATGAAACTTCTGCCTCGTTTGCTGGAAAACTTGCTCTTGAAGCCTTCAGACGTCATGTATTTTGTCCAAAGCCCTGAGGCCACCAGGCTATGCGAAACCCCAGAGCAGCCTACATGGAGAAACCAGAGAGGTCCTGAGACTAAGACAAGATAGAGAGATGCCTCACCAGCCCCAGCTGCTTCAGCCCACCACTACCTCTGTCTCTGCTGCTCCAGCTCCAGTCCCAACACCCAGCTGAGCCCTTCCCAAATTCATGACCTACAGGACCCATATGAGATAATGAGAAGATTCTTATTGTTTTAAGCCACTAGATATTGGGGTTGTTCTTGTAGCAACAGATAAACAGATTGAATTCATTAATAAAGTAACACCTTGGGCTACCTAGAGAATTCAAGAAGGTCAAGCACAGGTCCCATTTCTGAGAACAAGTCTACTGGAGGGCTACTGAGTTCTTTAGGGGTATATCTTACTATACTTGTGGTCTCCAAGAATCAGTACAATTTCCTCAATATGTCTAGAATTCCAGCAACTCAGATATTCCTTCAGTTATTGCTAGTCATCCATCACTACACCTTCTGCTGACATTTAGTAAGGGATGTAAGCATATCTCCGAGAACATAACTTTCAGAGAAATGTAAAATAAACTTTGAGTAGTATCAAAATTACAAGAGATGAGAAATTCTGAAACAACAGCCATGATTTTTATGTTTTATACATTTTCAATGCTGCCATTTAATATGAGGGAGACGGTGACATACCATTTCACTCAAGAGAACACCACTGTTGATAGATATGTGATGTCTGCCTGTCACTAGACAACAGTGTTGTTTAGTGCTAACTATCACTATATTGCAAAGACAAACAGTGGTGTGAAGTAGCCAGCTGACTCTGCAAATTTACAAGTGACCTTGGGAAGTGCTTCCTCCCTGTGGATGCCCAGTAGATAAAAGTGGTTTTTTTCACCTCGTTCAGCGGGCCAAGGTCCTCGGTCTGGCTCATAAGGATTGAACGTGGAACTTTCAGGCCGGTTACCTTGGGATGAGGGTGTCTGAAGCACACAAACAATAACATGTCATTTTTCTTCATCGATACACTGCTGAGTTGATTTGTGTAATTATTTTCAAATAATCACATTCTTATTTATGCAGGGAAGGCAAAGGAAAGAAGTAGGAATAAAGACAGGAGAAAAATCAAGGCTTATCTCATTCTCCGAGCAACCGCTTGGACCCTTTGAGGGTTTGACAAAGTTCATGCTACTCCAAATCAAGGAGTTCTACAAGTGTCTCAGATGGAGTTGTGAGAGAATCAGCTCTACCTGTTTAGGGAGAATCCCTTCCCACTTACATGTCCTTTCAAATCCTATTTCTATACCCCACAAGATGCTAGGGACTTTCATTTTCCCCTTGAATTCATTCTCTTCTATTAACTGTTTGTCTTCAATTATATATAATATGGAAAAACCAAAAAAACCAAACCCATTGCCGTTGAGTCGATTCCGACTCATAGCAACCCTACAGGACAGAGTGGAACTGCCCCATACGGTTTCCAAGGAGAGCCTGGTGGATTTGAACTGCCGACCTTTTGGTTAGCAGCGCTAGCTCTTAACCACTACACCATAAGGGTTTCCATATAATATGGAAGTTATTTTAAAATGAACATTAAATGTCCACCTGCTGCTTCCACCTACTCCCCAACTCTAAAACATTCATGCTTCCTAGTCTCTGCTTAAATTTTTACCTTTGGCGGAGATCTAGAAACATTTGGGTAGATATCAGAAGGGAGCACTGTCCAACGATATAAAGGTTCCAAAGACGAAGGCTGTCTGCTACCAACCCAAGGCACCAATGATGATGATACTGATGCTAATGATAACCATGGTACCCATCCTATGAGGCTGGGGTCCTCTTCTGGCTTGCCTGAAGATAATTCTTGCCCAAACCCAGAGCAGATAACTGAGGTCTATCTGTGAAACAAAGCTTTGCAGGTCATTCTTAACAGCAACCTTTTCTATTATTTACTTTGATTAAGATCAATTTGTATCACGAAAGAACTGGGAAAAAAAATCTACTTTTTGTATTACTAAGGGATTTCCATTTTGAAAGTCTTTCTCTCCAGTTTTTCTAACCCACTCCCATCCTCCAGTAAAGCAAAGTTATGCCTAATAAGTTTAGTTCACAGGAGAGCCGGGATTCAAATTCATTTTTTGGTGTGAGCTGAGTAGAAATTTTATACTTCTATTTACCTTGTCGGTGCCCAAATGATGGCCACGAAGAAATGAGATACTGCCATTTAAGGAAATATTTAAGGAAAAGGAGACATTAAGCTTAACATTACACAGCCAATTATCTTACGGTGCGGACTACGTCCTTGCCTGTCTCACTGTATTACAAGCCCAGGAACCAAAAGTATAGTAATAGACACACAATGCACCACTAACGCCACTTGTCTCTAAGGATCATGACTTCCTCATTTGTATCCATGTGGTACACTGAGCGCTACAGTGACACCGCTCACAGCAGCAAAAGCCCTTCTGACGAGGCTAAGGAACATCTGCTCTGATTTTTCAGTGGGATACCGTTGGATCCATTTTCTCACAGGCTATCTCAACATCCTTACGCAAATGTTTAATCGAAGGAACTATGATGTATCAAGAAAGAAAATGGAATTTAAACTCCAAGAGGCATAACCGTTTATTCACTGCATTAGTAGCAAGCTATACCCACTCTGGTGCTCAATAAAAATGTGCTAAACAAACACACCAATGAATGAATGAATGAATGAAAGTAACTTCTTAAAACTGGGAGATATGAAGTAGAAACTCATGGAATTTTAAAACGAGTTATCACTCAAATCTTTATACTAAAGGAGACAAATAGTTGGGGATAATTCCAGATGACAATGTACCACTTCTAAAAACTTACATATGATTACAGATCACTGGATGTGCTGTGAGTTCTCCTCAGACTGATAATAAAATTACTCTATCTCAAAACTCTCAAGGGAGAAACCAGACAATTCCATCCTCCCCCTCCGCTCAGATCCCTCCTGCAATCCAACCCCAGGCTGGAAATAGTTTTCAAATTAATTTTTAAAGAAGTTTCTTTCAGGTTAACATTTACCATTACTATTTCAACTCACTTGAGTTTCCCTGAAAACAGTAAAATTCTGAGATCCACTGATATCATTTCAACACACACGCACAGGGAAATGAAGGTTGTCCCTGGACCAGCCATCACAGACAAGGAGAATGGACGGCATCCCTTCTCTTGACTTTATAATCTCCCATCCTCAGTCCCTTTAGGAAATTATCCAGGGGTTGTAGTCTCTGTACTCTTACAGAATGTCCCCCCAGAGTAGGACTACTTCATAAAGATTTGTTACAATTAAATCAGGACACAATTACCTAGTATATGAATTCTGGGGAGAAGAATTTTAAATCGGAGGGGGAGTGTTGTAAAAAATACTGAAAAGAACTAGGGTATCACGAGTCAGTAGGCATATTAGTGACGGACACAGAGAATCTAAGCCCACGGGAATGAGTAATTTATCCTCAATATTATTATCTATTATTGTGGTTATTATTATCATAATTATCTGAGTGTACCTTGACTTATGGATAAGGAAACGGATTAGAGATCTCCATTGGAAGTTTGGGCTCCATGTTTTCAGCCCAGGTGGCTCAGAGCTTTACTTTGATGCAGCCCATCACAGAGCAGCATGGGATTACAAGCCTTAACAGCCCAGCTGCACACAGTACCCTGTTTCCTCAGCAAACCAATGTCAGCTCTCACCCACCCCAGCCCCAGGTACTCCTGCCCTCACTCCTTCTTGATGACAGATGGGATTGGAACAAAGTGTGGCGTTGCACTGGGGAGAATGCCCTTTGCAAGAAATGGGTGGTTTTCCCTTCTGTCCATTACAAGAGCTGTGGTTGCTTGATGATGAGGATGAGGATGTAAAGCGCACCTTTCATCTTTCCTAGCATACTCAATGAATACGTCGTTTAAGAGAAGAGCAAAATATCCCGGGAGCAAATGCTCAGTTGAAAGAAAGCATCTGAAGACTTTATAAAGAATGAGCATTAGGGCATAACGATAAACTATAAAAGTACTGATTATTACTTAAATTTAAATACATTTTAATTTTAATAAAAATGTATTGCTGGTCTACATTATTATTATTTGTCCTTATTATTTCTGCTTCGTGTTTGATTATTTATTCTGCCTTAATCAACAACAATATCATCTCTTCTGCACAGAGAACAACAAGGTGTAAGTGAAATGCTGATTTTCTTTTCATACCATATTTAGTGGAATTCAAAAAGACGTAAACCCGCTGCTACCACCAGGTGGCACTAGCAATTGGAGGGTTCCACCTAGAACAGCAATTTGTGATTTTCCTTTACGTTTTATAAATTCAGATAATAACACTCCCAAATAATAATAATGAAGAAAAAAGTGTTCAACGATATATTATGATCCCTGACCTTTCATTGCCCAGGCTTAACTGCAAGAAGAAAACGTACTGGACAAATATTTTTTGAGTGCCTATGTTTAAGAACTCTGGAGACAGAAGGGAATAAAAGAAAAAAAACAAAATCACTGCTCTGATGGAACTGACAGATGAATTCAGAGTTTCCTGACTTGGGGTTCTTGCCATGTGCCCTAAAGCCCATCTTCTAGATTTTAATTTTTACATGCACACAACTTAAAAGTCATTTTCAAATTAGATAATGGTAGGGATGCCGATTGCAACCTACTTATCATGATTGCAATAACAAGGTTTCCTTCAGAAATACTAAACCGAACAACAAAAACAAAAACAAAAAAACCCGTTGCCATCGAGTCGATGCCAACTCATAGTGACCCTATAGAAATACCAGCTGCTATACATCAAATCCAGGTTCCAGGTCTCTCTCTGGCGGAAGGACTCTGGTCCCAATGGACGGAATATGGGATAATATTAGATTTCCTTTAGATTCATGAAAATGCCACTTGACCCTCTAAATTAATCCTTTGTCACCTCAGAAGCAAAGATCTAAAATCTGACCCTTTATAATGAAATAAAAACGTATTTTCTCAATGGTCTAGTCCACTGCTCCAGACTCACCAAGGAAAAGGGTGTAGCTTTCGAGCTGCTTTCTTGCCTCTCTCCCCCATGAGCCTTAGTAAATTTCGTATTGATTAAATCATTTTAATAGGTACAAATGTAAAAAGGCCTAACAGGATTTACAATGAAAAGTGGGGTCTCCTTGACGACTCATTTCTCACCTCTCTGCTCTCTACTTCCAAAATAACCAGTAATGTTCTATATTCTTCCAGAGATAAAACCAAAAAACCCCATTGTCACAGAGTCGATTCTGACTCATAGCGACCCTATAGTACAGAGTACAATTGCCACATAGGGTATTTCCAAGGAGCGCCTGGTGGATTTCAACTGCCTACCTTTTTGTTAGCAGCTGTAGTTCTTAACCACGACGCCACCCAGGTTTCCCTTCCAGAGATAGTGTATACTATATTAGCCTTGTATGCATGACTTTGTCTTTTGCGATTAGATTACATCTTGGAAGCAATTCTGTATCTCAGCTGCCTCCCACAGTACGAATGTCACTGTAACTTCTTTCATCTATGTCCTATTGATAGACATTTCCATTATTTCCAGACTTTGTCAATTAGACAATGTTGGAATAAACACTTTCATATATACATGGTTACACATAAATGCAAGGATATCTGTATGATAAACAGAAATAAAATTGCAGAGTTATGGAGTTATGTGCACTTTGAATCTTCATAAAACATTGTGAAATTGTTTTTGTTATGGATTGTATCATTTCATACTTCTCCAGCAAAGTGTGAATGTCTTATTTGAAACACCCTGCTACACACTTGTGTTACCAAGCTTTTTTATTTGGATCAATTTCACAGACAGAAAGAGTGCAACATAGTTGTAATTTGCATTTTTCTTATTCTGAAGTTGAACATCTTTTTATATATTTAAGAGCTTATATTTGCTTTACCGTAAAATACCTAATGATATCTTCTGCCC